CGCGGGGCCTGAGGCTGTATGGTGGGGTTCACATGGCACTGCGTAGGCGTCTTTCTTTTTCGCACCCGCTAAGGCGGCTCTCCAGGGTATATAACCACTGACATTCCCAAAATTCACGTTCCATCATTAATCATGTTGAGAAACTTTTCCAGATCTGCGTCCCGCGTGGCCAGAACCGGGCCCGTTTTTGCTCGTTCTCTTTCGACCATTGCTCTCAACTCCACCACCGACTCGTACCCCACAAATCACTTGGAGAAGGGTACTGAACCATACTTGACCCCTTCGTTCATCGACAACCAGTTGGTCAAGTCTGACTCCAAAACCTGGTTCGACATTCACGATCCAGCCACCAACGAGGTCATCTCGAAGGTTCCTCAGCTGACTGCCCAGGAGCTCGACGATGCCATTGCATCTGCCGAGAAGGCCTTCCACGAGTGGAAGAACTACTCCATCATCAAGAGACAAGGTATTGCCTTCAAGTTTGTCGAGTTGTTGAAGAAGAACCACGACAGACTTGCCGGTATGATTGTCTTGGAACAGGGTAAGACCTTCCCTGACGCCAAGGGTGACGTTTTGCGTGGTTTGCAAGTTGCCGAAGCTGCCTGTAACGCCCCTAACGACTTGATGGCCTCTTCTTTGGAGGTTGCCACCGACATGGAGACCAAGATGGTGAGAGAGCCATTGGGTGTCATTGGCTCGATCTGTCCATTCAACTTCCCAGCCATGGTCCCATTGTGGAGTTTGCCATTGGTGCTTGTCACCGGTAACACTGCCGTGATCAAGCCTTCCGAGAGAGTGCCAGGTGCCGCCATGATCATTGCTCAGTTGGCTGCCGAGGCTGGTGTTCCTCCAGGTGTCTTGAACATTGTGCACGGTAAGCACGACACTGTGAACAAGATCATCGAGGACCCAAGAGTCAAGGCCATCAACTTCGTTGGTGGTGACAAGGCCGGTAAGTACATCTACGAAAAGGGTACTTCTTTGGGCAAGAGAGTTCAGGCCAACCTTGGTGCTAAGAACCACTTGATTGTGTTGCCAGACGCCGACAAGAACCACTTCATCAACGCCGTCAGCGGTGCTGCTTTCGGTGCTGCCGGTCAGAGATGTATGGCTATTTCTGTGCTTGTCACTGTCGGTGAGAAGACCAAGAAGTGGGTCGAGGAGGTTGCTGCTGACGCCGCTAAGTTGACCACTGGTTCTGGTTTCGACTCCAAGTCTGACTTGGGTCCTCTTGTGAACCCTGAGTCCTTGACCAGAGCCAAGGAGATCATTGCCGACTCTGAGAAGCAGGGTGCCAAGATCATCCTCGACGGTAGAAACTTCAAGCCTTCTGACCCCAAGTTCGAGAAGGGTAACTTCTTGGGCCCAACCATCTTGACCGACGTCAAGCCTGGTATGAGAGCATACGACGAGGAGATCTTTGCCCCTGTTTTGGCCGTAGTCAATGTCGACACTTTCGACGAGGCCATAGAGTTGGTCAACTCCAACAGATACGGTAATGGTGTTTCGTTGTTCACCAGCGCAGGCGCCGCTGCACAGAAATTCACCAAGGAGATTGCCTGTGGCCAGGTTGGTGTGAATGTTCCTATCCCAGTGCCATTGCCAATGTTCTCCTTCACTGGTAACAAGGCCTCGTTCTTGGGTGACTTGAACTTCTACGGTAAGGCTGGTGTGACTTTCTTGACGCAGCCCAAGACCATCACCACGCTCTGGAAGACCAGCACCGTGGACCAGGTTTTGGCTCCATCCACCGCCATGCCCACCCAAAACTAAGGTGTGTAAATAAAAAAAAATCTACGCAAGAGTTGATGTCCATAACGCGAGTAGGTGGTATTCCCCGGACATGTAGGTGCAGCGTCTGCAGGATCTAGCTATTTTTTTCGCAGCCATTCACAAAGGGTCCCAAACAAAGACATTTACGGCAAACAATGTGGACAAGAAAGCGGATGTGAGGTCATCGCAGCAAGGAAAGTGTTCCGGAGTTCAGAGGTTGAAAGGCTGGTAAAAATGAAGCCATTTCGGGTGGCAAAGTAAAAACTGTACAAATTAAAAAAAAAGAAAGGCAAAAAGAAACAAACGGTCACCCGGGATAGGGGCAATGTAGGCTCATGGAACATTGATGGGACGAGTTTTAAACGAAAGGGCCACTGCGGCATCCGGCAGATCTAAGGAGGTCTAAAGTCCAGGGAAAATCTCAAAGAGGAGTTTTGTAGAGGGATGAGGCGGTGAAACAGAATATTTTTTCACCAACAGCCAGCACCTGAAACTACCCCAGCCGGAATAAAGCACCAACTCCGAAGCCCTTGGCGGGAAGGGAAAAACAAAACAAGCAGCCTAAACGCCGAATTTACCTTTTACAGCACGGTGCTTAACGTGAAGATAAAAAAAAAAAAAAAATTAGCGTAGCAGCCGAAACATATTCACGGTCGGTCTGGCCAAATGTAAACGCCCTCGGCCGAGTGGGCCGGCGTCAGGACTAGATGGATTTTTTTCCGAGCGCCCAGACCTAAACGGTCTTGGCCTTCACCGCCATTGTATAGGCTCGGCAGGTAAACAGAGAAAAACACTTTTAAGATTTGGATCCTCATACACTTCCGGTGGAAGTTACCTATGAATTGGGCTAAAACCGTTCCCCAGACCTGCCGCTTGGCCCGCGGAAAAGTTTATGTCTGCAGTGCGTCTAAGACTATTTTAGGTGATTGATCGCAGTCAGCCGAGGAGGCCGTTTAGGCCCCTTTGACGGTCCAAACGCCGAATGGAAAGGAGCCTCAATTCGTAAAAATCACATCCGTAGCAAAAGGTCATGTTTTCATGTTTTTTATCCGCTCCCTGCCGCCCGTTGTCCCTTGCTTCGTGGGTGTGCCTTGCCACCCGAGTTTGTCCGCGGCACTGTATCCTGCTCGGTAGTGGGACAAAAAAAAAAAAAAAAAAAAAGAGAACAAAAAATCGCACCTTTATATATAAGGTGCACCTGAGTGGATGGCCTGGCGCCTTACAGCTCACCACTACTTATACCACTGCGCTGCTGTTTTTGTTGCGGGCCAGCTGCTTTTTCCGGCTGCCACTTTGAACCCTCCCCCATCTCCCAAAAATAATATATTCTTTGAATTTCCGTGCATTAAATTTATTCCTTCCCAATTCCACCCCCACTGTTTATTTTTCACTGGCCATCACTGTAGCATGCTGATATAGCCCACCATGAATGCCCCACCCTGTGTTCCCACTGAGCGCAAACCGATATTAACAGTGAAGACGCTGAAAAACTGGGTACTTCCTCCCCGGCCCAAAAACGCCCGTCGCCGGCTGGAGAAACCCAAGAAAGAAAAACCCAAGGACGCTAAGAAAGAGATCAAGAGAGAGCCCAAGATCGAGCCAAAGGTGGAAATCAAACTCGAACCTAAAGACGACAAACCGCTGGAGCCCGTCATGAAGCCCTCGCCACCGAAAGCATCGTGTGACCCGCTGGCCGCAGAGCTCGCCGCTTCCATCGGCAACTTAGACAAGGAGAACTACCAGCTCAAGATCAAGTTGCTCTCGCTCATCCACGACTACAAAAGGCTCAAGTCCCACCTTGCGCTGGCGCCCGTGGACCCGGAATCGCCCGCCGTGGACGTTGACAGCCCGGTGCTGGCCTCTAGAAAACGAGTCTTCACCGAGGTTGATCCCATGAACGAACTCATTTCCAACATGAACCACCTCAGCCATAGATCGCCTTCCGACTTGAGTATACCGGAGGAGCACGAATTGAGCTTATCCGAGCAATTGCTTGAGCCGGAGGATGCATTGGATGTGTTCAACTACGTGAACTTGTCTGACTCAGAGGACGAAGACGAGTTCGAGCTGACCCTGTTGTCCCGTCTGGTGTCCCCCGGCTGTTCCGAGACCGATGGCGAAGGACTGCTCATGACTTCCCTTACCAGATCCACCACGGTTTCCACCAACAATAGTCTGATACCTGAGAAGAAACCCATGCTCAAGTTTTACGACTTGCCTGCTTACCTGGATAGCGAGTATGGTTTTTCGTTTGAGCCAATTGACCCCCAGGACAAGATGCTCCTGGTGATTGAAGAGGACCACTACAATCAGGTTGCAGACTTTTTGGAAGAAAAACTTTTGAGCAATGACGTAGAGTACTACGTTGACAAGGACGTGCGCTAGGTTGCCCCAACTGCCGACCTGGCCTCACGAGAAACGACTGTTTTGATATTTATTAGCTTACGAGACGATGCCCACAAAATACAATGACATCAATGATTTGGATCTGTAGAATGGTTATGATTGCCCCTAGCAATCGCTTATCAGCACCTGCTCGTATTTTGCAGCAAGTGAGCGATTTCGGCAAAGAGACACGTAAAAATAGGAAAAACCCGGGAACACTGCAAATCGGCTTCTACGCCAGCAAGCGCCTTCAATAGTATTCTTAAGCGATAAGCAGATGATTAGGCTCCTTTTTCCTCTTTAATTGGAAAGGGTGTGCGACATTGTCGTATTGACACCAGCAAGTTCGGTAAATTTACTCGATATGCTTTTCAATGTTTTGAAGCCTCTATTTTATGAAATTTCTATGCTTTGATCAGATCAATGCACTGCACTTGGACATCCTGGCTTCCCCATCTGGTCCTCTGTGTACTGAAACGCAACATCTACAGTGCTCCATTACAGACTACAACCAAGCATTGAAAGTACTCCTTTTGAAATGTGGGCCCACAAGGCAATAGCCACTCAACCTTTTCCCGGATGATCCGGAACCGGAGCCGTCGGTTTTGAAGGAATACTTTAGATGCATGTCTCAGAAGGGGAACCCCATACTAAAATGCATTCGATCATATTATCACAATCCAAAGCACTAAATCCAATTCTATATCTCTCCGAACATAATGCCCCAGCGGTCACCAAAACATAGTTTTCATCTCATTCCCTCTATTAGGTGTGAATTGGAGGGCCCAGTTCGCGGGACTACACACGAATCGCAAGTCGACGTCACCTGCCAGTACAACATTATGGAACAGATTGCTGCCCAGATCAACGAGCTTTTAGAATTCCCCATTGACTTCGAAGGCCAGAAGAAAGTCGACCGTATTGTATTTTTCTTCGTTCCCGCCGCAGCAATTCTTTCCGTGTTGGCTGGATTTATAACTCAGAACTTGTTGCTGTTACTTGTCACTTTTGGCTTGACTGTTTTCGTTACTTTGGTACTCGTGTTACCTCCCTGGGCCCAATATAGACAGAACCCCGTGCAGTGGCTCCAAGTGAAATATGAGCTCTGATTTGTTTTTGGGTTTCGATTTGTCCACCCAGCAGCTTAAGGTGATTGTCACTGACGCCGCCTTGAACGCTCAGAAGACGTATGCTGTGGGGTTTGACGACCACTTCAAGGAAAAGTATGGCATCGAAAAGGGTGTTCTTACGGATGACACCGCTGGTGAGATCTTGTCGCCTGTGAAGATGTGGCTCGAGGCGGTGGATACCGTGTTCACGATTATGAAGAAGGATAACTTTCCATTCGAGAATGTGAAAGGCATGAGTGGCTCAGGTATGCAACATGGGTCCGTGTATTGGTCCGAAGATGCCACGAAGTTGCTTGAGAACCTAGGCAATGCTTCCTCGTTAGTCGAAGGCTTGGAAGGAGCTTTGACAATGGAGACTTCTCCCAACTGGCAAGATCATTCTACCGGCCAGGAAATCAAAGATTTTGAGAAGGTTGCACATGGTCCTGACCATCTTGCCGAGAGAACAGGCTCTAGGGCTCACTATAGATTCACAGGCTTACAGATCCGTAAGTTGGCGGTTAGAAAAGCTCCTGACGCGTACAAGAAAACGAGTCGTATCTCTTTGGTGTCCAGCTTTTTGGCCTCTGTTCTTTTGGGAAAGATAGCATCTATTGAACACGCTGATGCTTGCGGTATGAACATCTTCAACATCAAGGAGAACAAATACGACGAGGAATTGACCGCTGTTGCTGCAGGTGTTCACCCAGAGTTGGATAGCGTTTCCAAAGATGAGTCGGCTAAAGGAGTGGAAGAGCTTGAAAAGAAGTTGGGTCCCATTGACGATATAACATACGAGGCATTGGGCACCATCTCACCATACTTCACCAACAAGTACGGTTTCAGCAAAGACGCCAGAGTTTACTCATTTACTGGCGACAATTTGGCTACAATCATTTCGTTACCAGTCGAGCAGAATGACGTCTTGGTGTCTCTTGGCACATCAACAACAGTGCTTCTAGTGACCGAGCTGTTCAATCCCTCGTCGCAATACCACTTGTTCAAACACCCTACCATGAAGAATGCCTACATGGGTATGATTTGTTACTGCAATGGCGCCTTGGCGAGAGAGAATGTCCGAAACGATGTTAACAAGAAATACGATCTTGAGAAAGAGTCCTGGGACAAATTTGATGAGATCCTCGATGCCTCTGAGGACTTCGATAACAAGCTTGGTATCTACTTCCCCTTAGGCGAGATTGTTCCAAATGCTTCAGCTCAGTTTAAGCGTAGTGAGCTCCTCTCCAATGGCGAGGTAAAAGACGTCAAGGAGTTTGACTGCGAAGAGGATGTGACGTCTATCGTTGAATCTCAAACAATTTCTTGCCGTTTGAGAGCCGGACCAATGTTGAGTGGATCCGCGACTTCCACCGACACTCCTGAAACTGAGGATGAAACTTTGAAAAAGCTCTACCATAAGTTACATAGTGACTTTGGAGACATCTATACTGATGGCAAGAAGCAGACCTTTGAGTCGCTTACTGCGAAGCCACACAAGCTTTTCTTTGTTGGTGGTGCTTCCAGGAATACCAGTATAGTCCGCAAGATGGCTTCGATCATGGGATCTACAGCTGGCAATTTCCAAGTGGAAATTCCTAACGCTTGTGCCCTTGGAGGAGCTTACAAAGCTAGTTGGAGTAACGCCTGCGAGCACCAAAACGAGTGGTTGGACTACAACGAGTATATCAAAAAGCACTACGATTTCAAGGAGGTCAACATCTTGGACATCAAGAGCAAATGGGAGAATTATTTCCCTGCAATGGGCCTTTTGGCTAAAATGGAGCTGAATCTCAAGCACGACTAAATAGTTGCAATATAGTGCGACCTGAAAAATTGTAGATCATAGTTAAATGCTCCACAGTTTCCGGGGATGTGGCCTACGCTGGTCCACCTCAACACAAACAAAGTTTGTCAGATACAATTCTTCAATCCTTGGATCACTAGTAAAAGGTGAAGCTGTTTCTGCCAAAGATTTGAGATCTTTTCTTGCTTCCAAGACCCTCGGCGATGATGAAGTTGAGAAGATTCATGAGATCGTGAAAAACGAAAAGACCTCTGTCGGTACAATCAACCAGCTTCTACAACATGGCCTCCAAAAAGACTTTTCACTCTACTATACTGTCAACAAGGCTAGCCCATCGCATGTTTGGGACAACGAAGCTCTTCATTCACTCATAAAGCACAACCCAGGGAGAGCTATTTCGCTGTGGGCCCTTCTAGAAAAACTAGGAGTGAGTGCCGATTCAAAGTGTATTTTAGAGGTTGTGAACAAGCTTCTTGAAGGGGAAATATCGGAACTTAAGGAGGGTGCTGTAGAGGTTACTCCAGAAAGACTCGATCGTGCAATCAAGTTGTTAAATCTGGTTAGAGAACCCGTCGAGCAGCAATGGGAATTGCTCGTTCAAAGAGCAATTGAGTTGAAGAAGATGGAACAGCTTTCCACGATTGAAGCAGATGCGTTTGTCCATTGGCTCAATCAGAAGCTTCTGTCTGTCACTGACCAAAGAGAGTTTCTTCATATCTCCAAGGTTATCTTCGACAATAATCCTGAATTGTTGAGCAAAGACTCAATTGCCCAAATCCTTTCATATGCCCAAAATGAGAGTGATCCAGTCACTGGAACCGATTATCTCCAGGCAGTAATTGATCTTGTGGAACTGAAACACCTCGACACTGATAAAAAGGACCCAGAGTCCTTACTTATTCGTTTGAAGCTCGTAACTACATACGGCATACACCAAGACGACTTCAACAAGGCTCTTGAAAAATTCCATGCCTACCAAACACACGAGAAGTTCGGTATTGAGCTCGTCCAGGCTAAACTCGTACAAGTGTTTGGTTATCAAGCATTCAAAAGAGGAGACAAGACGCTTTTGAGAATCGCAGAAACATTGGTTGATCCAGACGAGCTTCAAGTGAAGACTCTTGCTCAATTGATCTTGGCCAGGTCCAAGTTCAACTGCGAGGACTCATTGAATCTTTACAACGACTACATCAACCAAGTCTCCAAAGACATCAACGAGACCACTGGACGTTCACCTACAGGTGTGCTCACCGAAGCTCTCATGACTGCGAATCTTTACAATAACGACAGAGAGTTTGCTCACCTTCTCTACGATAAAGCAATAGCCAGTGGGTTTCTCAAAGACGAAGCCGAGGCGGCGCTGATTAAGAAAGTTTTCAAAGTCTACGGAGATAGTTTTGAAGAGTCTGATTCATGGGAAGAGGCTCAACCGCGTCTCGCTAACTTCGTCCTTGACCTTATTAGAAGAGACTAAAAAGAAAACCGTTATGGCTGCAAAATGCACTGCGAACCTCCATGACTAAATGTTCGTATTCAACACACTCAATGTACATACACACTACCAAGAAAAGCAATAGCGCAATGTTATCTCCCACAAGCCACATCAAATGTTAGTCACATCCAGACCTGACTTTGTACATCTTGTCAACGCCGCATGTGACTAACTGATAAATGCTGGCACTGCACAGTTGTGGTGTTATCTGAGTCATTGAGAAAATGCCTTTGCAATCAGTGTCATGATGCAGGCCTGTGGGTCCACTATATAGCTAGAGCGATAGCACAATTTTCAGTCTCGAAATAACATTCTTTTTACAACAATGGTCACCGTTCACCTTAGAGCCGAAACCAAGCCTTTAGAGGCAAGAGCCGCCTTGACCCCCACAACTACCAAGCAATTGTTGGATGCTGGATTCACCGTCTATGTTGAAGACAGCCCTCAGTCGATCTTCGAGGCTAAGGAATATGCTGCTGTTGGTGCTACCATCGTTCCTGCTGGTTCCTGGAAGGAGGCACCAAAGGACCGTCTTATACTCGGCTTGAAGGAGTTGCCTGAAAACGAAACCTTCCCATTGGTCCACGAGCACATCCAATTTGCTCACTGCTACAAGGACCAAGGCGGTTGGCAGGATGTGTTGAAGCGTTTCCCTGCTGGCAAGGGAACTTTGTACGACTTGGAGTTTTTGGAGAACGACGAAGGCAGAAGAGTTGCTGCTTTTGGTTTCTACGCTGGATTCGCTGGTGCTGCCATTGGTGTCTTGGACTGGGCTTTCAAGCAGACCCACTCAGACTCTGAAAACTTGCCCGCTGTGACTCCATACCCTAATGAAGACGAGTTGGTCAAGCACGTGAAGAGCGAATTGGACGCTGCTGTGCAAAAGAACGGCGGTAAGCTTCCGAGCGCCTTGGTCATTGGTGCCCTTGGTAGATGTGGTTCTGGTGCTCTTGATCTTTTTAGAAAGGTGGGCATTCCAGAGGACCAATTGCTGAAGTGGGATATGGCCGAGACCGCTAAGGGAGGCCCTTTCCAGGAGATTGCTGATGCTGACATCTTCGTCAACTGCATCTACTTGTCCAAGCCAATCCCTCCTTTCATCAACTACGAATTGTTGAACAAGGACGACAGAAAGTTGAGATCTATTGTTGATGTTTCCGCTGACACGACGAATCCACACAACCCTATCCCAGTCTACACGATCGCCACGGTTTTCAACGACCCTACTGTTCCAGTCGACACCTCTGCTGGCCCTAAGTTGTCTGTCTGCTCCATTGACCACTTGCCTAGTTTATTGCCAAGAGAAGCCTCTGAGCAGTTCTCCAAGGACTTGATGCCATCTTTGTTGCAGTTGCCTCAGAGAGACTCTGCTCCAGTGTGGACGAGAGCCAAGGCTTTGTTCGACCACCACGTTGCCAGATTAGATTAGACATTCCCATTTAGTGTACATTGAATCTATACCTTCCACATCGCTAACCTAACGTCACGCTCACCTTTGTTTTCTTGTTCTTTTTACCCTTCTTCTTCTTCTTCTCACTGAGGAGCACTCTTTTAGCCTCCTCGGCATCCGTCTCGTATTCGGAGTCACTTGGAGCCGTCTTTGTCTCCTCATGCGTTCTCTTCATGGTTGCGGCCTTCTCCACTGCCTCTCCACAAGCAGCAACACAATTGAGTCTCTCTCCACTATCGTAAACGGCAACCTGGTCTCTAACCTCTGAACGGACATCCCAAACGACGATTCTGCCATCTGAGGAGACAGATACAAGGTACGGAACGCCTTTCGTCTCGATTTCGTCACAGTAATATGCCAATCCCTTCACACGGTTCAGGTGACCACGGAACACAAAGTCAGGCTCCACAGAGGGGGACTCTTCCTCGGAAGACAAGATCTTTTGTAGTTCGACAAACTCAATGGAGCCATTGCTATGACCAGTGGCGAGAAACTCCTTACCTTCGATGTCGATGACCTCGAGGCACATCAAGGTTGTCTTGAATTTGAGTTTATGCGCAAGCTCGGCTTCCTGACCAAGCTCGTAGATGAAGAGTTGGTTCAACAAACCAACGATGAAATGCTTACCCGAGTTCGACCATCTGACGATCTCACCCGACTGTCCTAAATGGTCTCTACCCTTAATCTTGAGAACAGCAGCCTTCTTGGCTGTCATCAAATTCCATAATCTGATTGTCTTGTCTGTGGAGACCGAGATGGCTACCCTTCCTGAGGGATGGATATCGAGATCATTGATTCGTCCCTGGTGACCCTTCAAAGTTCCCAACATTTCCCAATCCTTGGCTCTCCAAATGATGATTTTTCCATCTTCAGAGCCTGATAAAAGCCACTTACCTGACTTACCGCTGTCTGAGCTATCGTCCTCACCTTCTTTGGAGAATCTCAAAGTGGTAACAGTACCCTGATGGCTCAAAAGGGTACCGAGCTCTTTTCTCTTTTGTAGATCATAAATTCTAATATGTTCGTCATTAGATCCGGTAACCAAGTACCTTTTGGCTATATCTATGGATTTGATCGATAAAGCGTGTGCCTGGAAGTGAAAAACCGGTGTGAAAACAGGCTCCTTGTCGCCGTCAAGAACCAACGACAAACACAAAAGGTTGTGCTCGTAAGAGCCAACCATGATACGGAATTGTGTGAATGGTCTGGTTTCGGTCATTGTGAAGTGATGGTGATATGGTTCTGGAAAATCTGATGGTCTCATCGCTACTTTGTATGTAAGTGCAGGTTACATGCAGCAGACCCAAACGGCTGCAAACCGAGACTTTATGTTCGAATGAAGATTTTTCAAAGAGTAAAATGTTCTCAAAATAAATGAATCAGCTTTGGTTTTCTTCTATTCAAATAATAAGTCCCGCCATCAACGCTTCATCACAAAGGAAGGCGCAGACTGTTAGTTGGGTAGTTGATGCATTGTTCCATGGAGCCGGGAACTGACAGTATGAATTATTAAAACCATTATATTTCTGAGCTTCTGGAATTTTAAACCTACCATGATGTTGCAGGCAGATGTTGCAGGCAGAGTATTTGCTCGTGTACCTTTGTACTGCCTTGGCTGCGAAACTTGAGGAAGGAAGCAAACCCAAGAATGTCCTACTTCACGTTGAAGTTCTTCAAAACGATATGAAACCTCTCATGTCTCAATCCTTAAAGGCAGGCATCCATTCTTGTTTCGAACCGGCGTGATCGATTCTCTTAAATCTTCTACCTCCTCCACCTCATACATCCTACCTCTTCCCCATAAATGCGTGCGCATAAACATCAACGGTGAGTTCAAACACAATAAGCCACCATGGCACAGCACCACAAAACACCGCTGCAGCACAATTCTTCATTGTTCATTTCACCTCAGGTGATGACGAGGAAGCAAGATGTTTTCATCACGCCGCCCAATCCACAAAACAACCTTTTTGAGTCGCCTGGTTCCCTGCTGCTGCTGTTCTACAACATAGATAATGTCAGTGGAACGTTACGAAATGACGCCGCTCAGGGCACAGGAGGTCCTGGTGAAGAGCCCATTTCCAGAGTACAGAAGCTCAGGTTATGGAGACACGAGGCACTTTTGCAGCACCAGTATCTGACCGCGGAGTACATTGGAGACAAGATTCTCTCTATGACGAATGATCCCAACGACGCATTTTGGCTAGCTCAAGTATACTTCGAGACCGGGAACTACTTGAGAGTAAAGAGTCTTTTGACAAGCAAATCAGAGTATGAGCAGTCAGTGGCATGTCGGTATCTCACTGCGTTCAGTCTTATAAAGCTAGAACGTTGGGAAGACGCTTTGGATGTCTTGGGCGAGACCAATCCATTTCTGAAAGAACCAAGTCTGAGACCGAAAGTCGCAGAATACGGGATCCGCTTCGAAGCCTCAATGTGCTACCTTAGAGGACTTATTTTTGCGAATCAGAATAGCTACGAGAGAGCTAAAGAGGCATACAAGGAAGCTGTCATGGTGGATGTCAAATGTTACGAGGCCTTCGACGAACTTATCAAGAATGATTTCTTGACGCCAACAGAGCAGTGGGAATTCATCAATTACCTTAATTATTCAGACGCAGATGATAACGACGAGCTTATCAAACTTTTGTATACCTCTCGGTTGAGCAAGTATACGAATGTGCCTAAGTTTGAGGAAGCCGAAAGCATTCTAAAAGATGAGTACCGTCTAGGTGAAAATGGCGATATCATGCTCAGCAAGGCAGAGCATGCCTTCGTCCAATGCAATTACGACCAGTGCCTTGACATTTGTGAAAGTGTTCTCAGCAAGGACCCCCACAATTGTAATGTTCTACCCTACTACATCAGCTGCTTATACGAACTTGGCGGTCGTAACAAGTTGTTCCTCAAAGCACACCAGCTCGCTGATTCCCACCCAACGCACCCAATTGCCTGGCAGGCTATTGGCATTTACTATCTCTCCATCAAAAAAGTGATTGAGGCTAGAAAGTTTTTGAGTAAAGCAACTTTGCTCAATCCGAATAATGGTCAGGCATGGATCGGCTTTGCCCACACATTCGCTTTGGAAGGTGAACACGAACAAGCCATCAGCGCCTACGCATTTGCCGCCAGACTCTTCCCTGGCAATCATATGCCCAATATGTTTTTGGGTATGCAGCATCTCCAAATGAATAATATCAGCTTGGCGGAAGAATATCTTTTAGCATCACACCATATTTGCAACAGCGATCCACTTCTCTTGAACGAGATCGGCGTCATATATTACCACAAAAACCATCTAGATCGGGCTGAGGCCTTTCTTCAGGATGCACTTTCTGCGGCACGCTATCTCAACTCAGAATCGAAAACGTGGATCTCTATCCATGCTAACCTCGGGCATGTCTACAGACGAGCAGGTCAGTACGATAAGGCTCTTGAATGTTTTCACCAAGCATTGAAGATGACTCACAGGAATGATGCAAACATCCTTTCGGCAATTGCCTTAGTCTACCTCAAGCTCAGAAATCCATTCAAGGCTATTGATGTGCTTCATGATTCGCTTGCAATCTCACCTGATGATCCCGTTGCAAGCGATCTCCTCAAAAGAGCACTCGAGGCAAATACAGAGACAACCTCGGCATTTTTCCAAGCACCTACAGCTTTGTCCGATCCGTCCTCTGTGTCAATTCCTGCCAGGTCACGCGAGTCCTCTCGAAGACATAGCTCTACCTTTGGCCCCGCAGGTAAGTTTGCAACGGTTTTTGAAGACAAACCGAGAGATGCGCCTAGAGAACGCAAGACCAGCGAGGCTGATACCAGTGATCTTGCGGAACGTCTAAAAAGGGGTGAAGACTCCAGTGATGAGGAGGTGATGGATGTAGAGAGTGACTAATCCGACAATGCGAGCGATATGTCCTTGAATACCCCGAATGGCTGCGAATTGTGAGGATATCACTTCCCCTCCTTTCACGCACCAAATCAAGAAATCTCATCTGGAAGACAAAAACATCTGCTATAAGTCCCATCCACTGTACTATTACCTTCAGCCTTTGCATACAAATCAGTCGTCTATCTTCAGTGGTACGGAGGTGAATCATACTGGTACCTGCAGCAGCGCCCCGCACACACTCCAGTCCTGATAACCGGACTTCTCTTCTTGCATAGCCAAATACATCAATCGTTATCAACTACATCGAGACGATGAACACACACGTGCCCATATCTCGAACAGAGCATAAAAAGCGACTGTTCCACGATGTTAAATTCAATCAGGACCAGGACTGCTTCGCTGTGGCGCACGAGACGGGATTCTCTGTTTACAACACCAACCCAATTGATCCTCGAGTCAGCCGGACATTCAATGGCACTAGCAGCTCAGGAACAGGAATTGGCTTGATTCTGATGCTTCACCGTACGAACTACCTTGCTCTTGTGGGCGGTGGCAAAAACCCGAGGTACGCTAACAACAAAGTCATCATCTGGGATGATCTCAAGAGGAAGGCGAGTCTTAATCTAGGCTTTATGGCCCCCGTTGTCAATGTGCTTCTCTCAAGAATACGAATCGTTGTAATATTGAAAAACCAGGTTGTCGTCTACGAGTTCTCGGCGCCACCTAAAAAGTTTGCGGCATACGAGACATATGATAATGAGCACGGTTTAGCCGACCTCTCGGTTCATTCTACAGCGCTGCTGCTGTCACTGCCAGCGCCGTCTTCAAGCTCCTCGCTTCGGTCTAATAATGGTACAACCCGAGAGGTTCCAAAATATCAAATCTTAGCATTTCCTGGTCGCACAATTGGTCAAATTCAGATTGTCGATATCTCTCCGGAGGGAGTCGAAAAGAATCTTGTCAGCATAATTAAGGCTCATAAGGCCCGCATCAGATGTATTGCATTGAGTCGAACAGGTGGAATGGTAGCTTCAGCTAGCGAAACAGGAACCATTGTCAGAATACACTCCACCAGCTCCACAGCTCTTTTGTTTGAGTTTCGAAGAGGCTTGGACAGGGCTGTCATCACTTCAATGAGTTTCTCTCCAAACGAATCAAAGCTTGCAGTATTGTCTGACAAAAATACGTTACATGTGTTCAACGTGGGTACCTCGAGCGAAACACAACTTTCCGATAATCTCGACGGGGAAGTCTCGTCGCGGAAGACTCCCACAAACAGACAGCATATATTGAGCAAACTACAGCTCCCCATCAGCATTCCAAATTACTTCCAATCGACCTGGTCTTTCTGCTCTGCCAACTTGAGCAAGTACCATACGGACGTTGACGAGAGTAGAGGAACGAGTGCGGACCTAGGAACAATTGGTTGGGCTGGAAATTCAAACATCATCATCATTTGGAAGGAGAAAAAAATTTGGGAGAACTACTCCATCGTGGAAAGAGTTGCCAGTGCGACTGATAAGAAGAAGGGTGATATCACGGAGTACGAGCTCGTGCGGTCGAGCTGGAAGAGCCTAGACAATTTGTCTGATTAACGATCTCATTATTTTATTTACAAGTCATTACTCGAGAATCTCGCAAAGTACCGGCTGGTACAACTGCTTTTCTCGCTCTTTATTTACAGGGTCCCATTTTCGTCCGTGAAAGTTTCTCACGAACCTCATTGCACTCTGTTCATCACCGAAATGTATCAATGTCAAATGTGTCTGTGTAGTGGGATCTTTGATGATTTCCTTCCATGAATTCAGTGGAGCTACCCTGTCAGAGAATCTATAGTCCCATAAAAGATCAGAAAGGGTTTGGCTGGACAAGCCGAAGGGTAAGTTTCTCACGAGGACCAGCTGATAACGTGAAGGAATTCCCATAAAACGCTGTAGAAGATGGTAATTTGGATGGGGATCAAGAAGAGATGTGTCCTTGTAACCTTTGTACCGCTCGAGCTGTCGAAGAATTTCAGATTTCTCTGTGGACTGCTTGAATATGCTGTCAAACGATGATTTATCATGGGCAGCTAAATTAGGGAGCGGTGAAAATTGAGATCCTGGTTCAAGTAGAGGCGATCCCATTCTTTTAAGATGAGTATGCAGTGGTGAAACAAATTCGAGTTTCATGTTAAAGCCGTTCATCACTCTGTTTCTGGTCTCCATGTAATAAATGCAAGCTTGAAGGTGGTTGGGAAACACCAAATAGTAAGCTCCTGAAAATAGCAAGCTGAGTGGGTTACGTGCCTTCACAACGTCAAATCGTAGGCCCTTCGTCAATGGGTTTTTGTATGAGTATAGTCTTTCCCTTGGTATGGGCTGAATATTGTAGAAATCTCTTCTCCCCACATAGGCGTTTCTGCATTCGAACCGTAGAACATTTGATTTGGGTGCCTCGGTAAGCAAAGACGCCACATCATCTCTTGCCAAAAGCGAATTCTTCTGCTTGGGCCCGTTATTCACCAACTCTTCTAGAATGGATGAGCTGCTTTCATTGGGATCAGCTTCATAGAGCCTCCGCATGACCACAGGTATCTTTGCAGGAATTTCCGCTTGTGCCTTCTTCACGAGCGACGCAATGCGCTCAGGGCTGGCCTTTGGCGGTTTCATGACCCTATGTGTGGAGTTGGCTCTAGTTACTGTGTTTGATGTTAGCGCGATAATGTCTTGTTCTGGCACAATAGGGCATTCCCAGCTTCCCGCCACACCACAGAAGAAACGAAGAAGGAAGGAGAAAAAGAAAGTTTAGCTAAATCGGTAAGAATAAGCATCTTCATACTCTTCACCCAAAATAATAAAATAACGGCCCTTTGTACTTACCCTTGGAGTTTCTCGAAAAAGCGTAGCTCCTGCAGAGACGTGCCATGTGCCAGTTATCAAGGTGCACCGTTACAGTAATATCCCAAGACTTCCTCCTCGCAACTATAAAACTGGGGGACTTCCGCCGTTTTATCGAGACTACAATCTTTACTCGCTACGCTCTATTCCAACGCCGTTTAACAAGCTTCAGCTCTCGCTGCTGCTACCCCAAAGCTCGAAATTCTATACTCCAAAAAACCGAAAAGCCTCAACCCACCCACACCTGTTTGTGATCCTCGGAATTATATCATTCCCTTGTATATAGCTTTTTGATCATGTCGTCGGATACCATCTGGTCTTCAAATACGAATCCGACTGTTTCGCCGACGGGTTCCTCGATTCGCCTCCTGGATCAAGTGGAGCCTGATGTTGCCAAGTTTTTGGCTGGTCCCCCGCCTTCAAGTGGACGGAGGTTCTCTTTTGCAGAGACGGGTGAGTTTGAATCAAACTTGTTCGACTTCAAGCAGAACTTCCAGGCCTCCTATGCGGCTTCTACTGGTGGGCCTCATGCTCCCAATGTCTCGAATGTGCAGAATGCGCCACAGACGACAGGGAACGGCAACGCCAACTTCAACAACCAGGCTATCCAGCTCGGAACGGCCTCCATCAGTGGAGGCATTGCAAGCAGGCATCCACCAAAAGAGAGTTTTTTGAACAAATTCGCCTCTGTTGCCGACGCTACTCGTGATATCGAGTTGTCCAACGGCTTGGGCTCGTTGTCCTTGGAAGGCAGCCAAAGAAGGACAAGTTTCAACAATGAACATGTCAATCCTTTGATGTCCTCGCCTCATGGCTCTCTTAGCGAGAATTTGAATATCCCAGCCTCGAGAACCTCGAGACAGCAGTCTATCAGTGAAAAGATCGACAACTACAATAACAGCTCACCTATTCAGAACAGTGCAGCCTTGTCGATTTCTTCAGACTTGAACGCAGGCTCGCAACTGGGCCTCGACCACTCTAAAGCACCTCAAAATGGGCCCAGCTTCTGGAACCCAGCTGCTGCCACCTCATTCACACCATCTTTTGCTCAGAACAACTTTCTCGAGAACTCCGCTTTTGCAAACGGAAACTTGAACAATTATCCTTATAACCGTGGTAACATGCCCGCGATGCCTCCAATCAGCCCACCTCCTTTTATGATGGCTAACCCGGCCCAATTCGCAGAAGGTGGCATGTACGGCTTTATGGGATATCAAGGTGTTCCACAACCAGGGGAGGGCCCTGAGCAAGGCACTGAGAAGCAGACGTCCGATGAAGACAATTCGGCAGATGAGAAGAAAGCGTCAGGTGCTACTTCATCTAAGACCCTGCCTCCTAAAACAGGTGCCATTCCCGGTGTTGGCTTGATGAACCGCCAGGTGCACCCAGGATTTGTGTTCAATCCTTTCAATCCTTACGCAATGTACCCACAAACCCCACCAGCTGGTTCTCCGCCGAACGCTCCTATGGAGAATATCCCTGGTGTTGTTCCGCAAGCTATGCTGCCTGCAGCTTTTGAAGTTGGTATGATGCAACCGCCACCTCCACCACCAAGTGCACCACTGTCTTCTCAAGAAGGAAGAAACTCTGCTCCATCAGGTGGTAAGAGAGGCAAGGCTGGTAAAGGCAATGCAGGCCACGGTAAGGGCGGTAACCATATCTATAGGTCGCCCTTACTAGAGGAGGTGCGCTCCAATTCGAAGAACAAAGACTATTCTTTGAAGGATATATATGGTCATGCTGTGGAGTTCACTATGGATCAGCATGGCTCTAGATTCATCCAACAAAAGTTGCCTCATGCAAGCGAAGAAGAGAAGGAGGTTATCTTCAACGAAATACGCGAGATTTCCTACGACTTGATGACAGACGTTTTCGGGAATTATGTGATACAAAAGTACTTTGAGCATGGATCAGATGTACAGAAGAATGTGCTCCTCGAGTGCATGAAGAACAAGACCTACGAGTTGTCCTTGCAAATGTACGGCTGTCGTGTTGTTCAACGTGCTCTTGAGGCAATCTCATTGAAGGGACAAATTCAAATCGTCGAAGAATTGAGAGACCACGTTCTTGTTTGCGCAAAGGACCAGAATGGTAATCATGTTATCCAGAAATCGATTGAACGGATACCATTCAACTACATCAGATTCATCTTGGACAGTTTGAGCGACCATATCTACCATTTGTCAACTCACCCATATGGATGCAGAGTGATTCAAAGGTTACTTGAGCACTCCGAGGTCGCTGATCAGGAAAAGATCTTAGCTGAATTGAACAAGTTCATCTTCTACCTTATCCAAGATCAATATGGTAACTACGTGATTCAGCACATTCTCGAACGTGGTGATAATGAAGACAGAGAGAAGATTCTTGACGTTGCCCTTGGTTCCATCGTCAATTTCTCGAAACACAAGTTTGCTTCCAACGTTATCGAGAAGTGTATAAAGCACGGAACTATCGAACAGCGCAAGAGAATACTCCATGAGGTTATGCTCGGTAACGAAGATCTTTCCAAAGAGTCTGTCGAAGACGATTCTCCTCTTGCGTTGATGATGAAGGATCAATATGCAAATTACGTGATTCAAAAGTTGGTGGAAGGGTTTGATGCCAAAAGTCAAGAGAAGAAAAATTTGGTAGTGAAGTTACGACAGTACTTGAAACAAATTTCCATGAGGAACAACTACGGCAAACACCTTGCCTCCGTTGAGAAGATGATCATTGTTGCTGAGACTGCTCTTGTTGAAGCCGATCGTAATTAGCAAAACTGGCGCCAACAAATGTGTAAATATTAGCTTTCTCGCACAGTGATTAATCTTCCAACCAAGAATTGATATTTAGTTTATGTATATACAGTTTATTCAATAATTTCGAAGTACGTTATGTCAAAAATCTATCATTTTCCCTACCATATAGACATAAATACGTGGGACAAGGTTTGGCACTATTATAAAACCTATCCAGAAGTACTCGAGTACAAGATTGTTTAAAAAGAATTAAAGGTCAATCATTTTGAAAATCGGCAACAATTGTTCCATACCGGCCCAGCCGTTCCCAGACGCTGACTTGTAGAAAGCACGGATGCTCTTACTTGTCAGACCAAAGGTGGCACTTTGATCTTGGGCCAGGAAAGTAATGAATTCGTTAATCGTAACATTTTTGAGGAGATCCATTTCGGTCCATGAAGCAATCTCGTCTTGCTTCACGCTCAATACCAGATCAGAAGGTGCGCTTTTGATTGCTTGTGAAAGTTCTTTATCGATCCTCGACTTGTACTCCAACAGCTCCTCACTGTCAGAGCTATCAAGCGATGTAGCTTCTGAGCGGCCCTCCACAGAGCTTCCAGCTCCAAAAGACTTTTGCACTTGATTGAGTGACAAAAGAGACGAATAGCTCTCTGTGTGAGTGGCGGTGCTTGAAGACACCGAGTTGAAATTGCCCAACTTAGCAAAGTTATCATTTAAATAGCTCAAATCAGAGCCTATGGATCCACCTGGATGCTTCATGGAGAAGAGCTTGCGGCGTTTAGCCTCGTCCTTCTCGATCATCTCCGATAAAGCCAACAGAGCAGCATCTGCCAAAACCAATGACAAGGTCGTCGAGACTGTTGGAGCTGGAAGACCATGAATGATGTCTTCCTTCAAATGTGGCGGTAGTTCAGCGAAAAGCAAAGCACGAACTTGAGGGTGTTCTGACAACTTCGAGGTCTTGTTGCACGTTAAAAGCACAATGGGCAAGAATGGTGAAAGGTGGGGCAAGAGCTGGAGGAGCTCTGGGGTATTCCCGCTAGCGGTAAAGAAGACCAAGCAATCACGGTCTCTCAATAAACCAAGATCACCGTGCAACGCCTCTGATGGATGTAAGACATCAGCGTCAATAGTCAAGGACTTCAAGGTAGCCACAGTCTTGGTGGCGATCTTGTAAGATTTTCCAATACCACAGCAAACGATCTTGCCGCCCCTTAAGTGGGTTTCATAGAAAATCTTCAATGTGTTGGCCAAGTTAACCTGCGAGAACTCATCCTCATCGAACTGCTTCATAAGACCAGAGACCGCTTTAGATTCATTCAGGAGAGTCCTCCTAACCGACAGTATAGCGTCGCTGGACATCCGCTGGTACTCGGACATTGTGGTTGTTCAGCGAATTCGTAGCGAAAACGAAGATGAGTAAGCCGTGTTCTTATAAAGCGGAAGAACCAGTCGCACGGAAAAACAGATAACGCCGTGCCAATAACACAAAAATGGACGCAAACGAAAAAACTGCTAGAGCAAGAGACTTGCTTGTACGCAAAAGCCGTGGCGTGGGTCGAAGTGCAGTTATATATGACCAGTAACCTCAAATGCGACGATGCGAACCTGGGTAAAAGAAAAAGCAGAGGGCGCAGGGAGGTTACAAAAGCCGTTGAGTATGACGGAATACTGAGGCACAGAAAATCAAACACCGGTGTGGCCCACTCCTGCTTTTTTATGTCCGATATTGCATGTGAAGACGAACAATAGACTTTTTCCTGAGGCCTGGGCTAGGCGGTAGTTTTAGTATAGAGTGTTATTAAAGGGATGTGTAGAAATCCGTTTTTCGGAGACCAGGGCTCTGGACAGGTTATGGTTTATGTGGGCTTGCAGCACCCAATTTTGCATCGCAATTGCACGTAATTGCAGCGTAATTGCAGCAGCGAATTTTCATCACCGAGCATGCACAGTCAGGCTCGCTTATTCTCCACTCATTAAATCCGTGAAACTATGGAGGAATGGTAAATAAAACGGTGTATTGTCGTCAAAAGCTTCGCCAATCAGGTCTGGCCAATCTTTGTAAACGTGCCAGCCACCCCTATGGCATCGCCATTATCCGTTCTTGGCTCTATGCGCTCCCCCTATCTGTAAGATCAATGCGGTGGCTTCGCACTCAATTTGCCTCTTATCAATGAGCAATTTGCAACCGCCCGAAAGCAAGTCTGGCCCAGTTGCACACAAAATCAACGAAAGCAATCGTAAATAAAAACATTGACCTCTCGTCTAAAACTCGAGATAAGCAGCGGTGCGCGAGCTTGATAAATGAATTTAACCTTTGTCTACGTATAAGAGCCAAACTCAATACGTTGGTAGGCTCCGTGGTCCTCACCCGTTGCATAGTCATAACGGGAATTGGTAGCTTGGTTGAATTCTTCTCCGCTACCATTGGTAACGCCTCCCTGTAATTGCTCCAAAAACGAGTTTGTCATGTCAGTGGCAATGACGTCAGGTGCTGACATATTCGGCCCTCCGACGGCGCCGTCTGACGAGTGTGGATTTTCCTTGCCCTGCTTCTTCTGTTGCTCCTGATTCGTCTTGTGTAACTCTAGAGTTCTTTTGCGTATCGATTCGATTTGGCGCACTCGTAATTGCCAATTTGAGACGTATTCTCCGTTGCTGCAATTATGCCAGACCTGTGCAAACTTGTCGGAGATCAAAATGGAGTTTCGGATAAACGTGGGTAATTGTTCCGCTGAGATCAATTTAAAATGAGTCGTTGAAAAAATACCAGGCACCCCGTGGCGCCGGAATGTTTTAACTTTGAATACCTCCGCCTCGACGTTACCCCCTGCTCTCTGAAGTGGCGTATGCGGCGTGATCACAATATTTAGGAAGTTGAACTGTGACTTGATGGTGTTAAAATTGAAGCTGTGGCCTGATTCATCAAAGTAAACATTGACATGATTGTTTCCAATATGTCTCTTTTTGAATGAGTGATACTTGTCGGATGCAACATTCGGCATGAGCGTTGTAACATGAAAAACCGTCTGTGAAATTGTATCACCCCAAATATAAGCATACTCCCCGTCGCTGCCATTTTCCTTATCTAAGCCTCCGACATAGACAGAGTCTGCATCTTTCAAGCGTATAAGCCTTCCAAGCAGGTCAAGGAATCTGTGATAGCTGGCCGATCCAACGGTGTTCCCCAATATTGCCGTTTCATCAGTCTGACCTGACCCTATATATACAATGCCGGCCTTATGAAACGAAACAACAGGAGTTCTATCAAGGGATCCAAGTGCACGTTCTGTGGCTGCATCCTCTAGCAACGGAACAGGCTTCAATTGCTCCTTGACCTCTAAAAAGTTGGTCACTTGCAATAAGAAATATGAATTGAGCACCAATCTCTGGTTTCCATCAGAGTTTGTCGTTGTCTGTAACATTGAGGGATCAAACTGAATACGGAATACGGAGACGCTGGTGGGCCTTCTCACAGTGATCAAAGAATCGCCATTTATGGTGTTTGTCGTGATTGTCATGATAACTGATCCTAAAAGCCAACTGTTAGTAACATCATTGGTCTTTTCGAGGCTCGGCTTTGGAGGGATGACAACTTTGAGCGGGATGTCGCTGCAAGCAAATCGGATGAGGAAGTCTGCCAATGCAATTGTTGGCTCATGTTTGATGTCAGTTTCATCAATTTGATTTGCAAGCACCAAGTTCCTCAATAAAAAGGGACTCAACTTACGCCTGTCGTTGAGATTAATGGTAAGGAATAAACGAGCGATCAATCTATATGATATAAGATAAAGATACTCGTTCATAATAGGTGTGATCGGTGTCAATTGTGTTGAGGCTTTCTGTTCAACTATTGCATCTACTCCGTGTTTCTGCAAAACATCTTCCTGTTCTTTTGACGCTTTACCTTGCGAAATTTGAGCTCTCAACATCGAAGCGTATTGAATGTACTTGAATGCAATTGCGAAGAACCTCTTGTAATCATCAATTGTGAAACTCGAGGTGATTGCTTGCAGGTTGATCAAAGACATCATGAATTCCAACGTTGGAGGACTTGCAAATGAACTCGTGACTCCAGTCTGGAGTTTTGTGAGAATAGCAGTCAAAAATTTCTTAATGGAAAGTGGAATCTCGTAGCAGCAGACATTCAAGATATGGATGCACGGAATTGCGGTCCTCTCGTAAGAGCCCATGGCAAATATAATTGAGCTGACAACTTGATCTTCATCTGCTTTTGTGAAAAGCCCGTGGTAACCAAGTAAAGAAGAAAGAATACGCACCAATGCCACCTGTAGGTCCGACTTGGTGACACTCGTATGCTCAGTTGGGAACGCTTCGGACGTTGGCAAATTGAGCATGAGCTGATCGCAGACAATTTTTTGAAGATCAAGAATATGAGCCTCTTGAGTCTTGAAAAGAGACATGTTACTCAACTGCGAGCAGTAATGAGCCCAAACAAAGGAATAGACCTCCCAATGGTAATAGTTAGTAATAATAAGACGCACGGTATCCACCCAGTGCCCAATATCTAAGGTGGATTGATTCTCGGATCCTTTCGTCTCTGGTAATGAAATCAGTTGCAGAAGTATAATCTTGGTCGGTCTGTCGAGATAGCCCTCAGGAATATATGCAAGGCTCTCTGGATATTCCCACAATATGCTCTTACTTCCATCGAAATTGGGATCAGAAGAAGCTCTTTTGAAAGCACTCGCTAATCCACCCATATCTGTAACCTCTGTAAAATAAACACGTCCTCTGCTTGATACTCTTATTCTGACTAAGCTTCGAAGCAAAGCAATCAGCGCAGATATATGTGCTTGATCAATGCAAAAGCGAAGAAACCTTGTCATGAAGTTATACGTTTCGATTGCATCATCGGGATTCGAAATTGAGGAAGTAATGAAAAATTTTGAGATGGTTTGTGCTAGGCGATCGAAAACCTTTGGATTGAGCGTTCTTTGCAGCTGTGTGCTTCGGTCAGAAACAACACTCAATTGGCGCAGTGAAGTTTGAAAGTATCTTCCAGAGCCTCTTGAGCTAAGCGAGCGCATGCTTTTCTGTCTTTCTGGCTTTGGGGGATCAGGTTTGAACGCTGAGTGAAATACTTCAAATATTTGCTTTACCATTGAGTGATTGGAAAGTGACATGAAGTCATGCAAAAAGTCACCGTAGAGATACTCAATTGTGACGGGATCTTGTTCTTGGAAAGAACGCTCAAGGACATCTAAAATGATGCGGGCGATGCTCGCATCATCAAACAAGGTTAACGACGATTCGTGAGCTTCTTTGATTGTGATCAATACATTCTTTTTGCTTTCTGAAGATGCACCGCTAGCGTAAAAGTGTGCGTTGAGAAGTCTTTGACAATTTCCTTTCCACAGAGAATTGAACACCAGGCAGAGCCTCTCATCCTTGAAATATTCAATTGCAAAAGTAGCAGCATTGTCACTCACAGCTGATGGATGAGTCATGAATAAATCTGCCAATGCGTCCTTGGGGGCAGTGAGGTCTTCTTGAGCGTATCTAGCGTTGAGAGCATCGCAAATAGTGAGCCAATTCTCTGCATCTTGTTCTGTATTAACATCCATGAAGCGAAGAATATTGAAAACAGATCGTGAAGTGGAGTACCACAGGTAGAATGGAAAAAGCTTTGTAAACAAGCTATCGTTAGCGAATGTACTGCCATGCTCGTCCAGGTCGAAAAGTCGACTGAACATACTGAGGAAGGCGGAATTAATGAATGGAATTCTCAAACTCAAAGCGTCAACGATATCATCGTATGCCTGGTCAATCACAAACGTGATATCTGACATCTTTCTGTCCGAACATATTTGTATAAAGACACTTTCAAGAATGCTAATTGCTCCAAGGCAAGACGAAATGTGCAGCATGCCATCAAAAGTTTTGGTTCGTGTCATATCCTGCGATGGGTCTGTATCATTGCTATATTTTATGACATCATTGTTGAAAATCACAGACCCCAACGTTGAGATCACAGGAGTAGGTGATTCAATGCAACACTGTTTGATGAGATCGGAACAAGTCAGTCGTAAATCAATAAATGTGGCATATACGTAGCATAATAGTTTCACCACATCCCGGAACACGTCCTCTGCAGCTGAGATAAGAACAATACTATACTTCACCAAATCAAGATACACTGACACAATTGTCAGATTTTTTGTTTCAAGGCTCAGCCTCACAAGAACGTTCACAATTGAGCTGAATGATTGATCTTCTGTTAATGCGTAATTGAACTGAACGCAATTGGTGATATAGCTAGTGAGATCGATAAGGTTGTGGAACGTTCGATCATCTTTGGAAGGGTCCGGCCCATCTGAGTACTTCTTTGCATGGCCTGCCAAAGCTTTGAAGCAGCGAAATAGGAACTCAGAGAAACTTCCATTCTGATCATAAATGTAAAGGTCGTGTATATCTCTTCCATCATTAGTGAGAGCCTTGAGAGCACTCAAGAACAAGTCAAACTCGTTATCAACTTTTGTCTCGGAAACTTTGCAAAACTCAACAATATCAGAGTAAAACTTGAGTCTGTTGCTCACAGCATCCTCGTCCTGTTGTATGCATTTGACGAGGAGTTTCAATGCCGATCTTCTTACACCACCTGGGTGCTGAGAATCGCATAGATCTCGGGCGAGGTACCAGACCTCAGGAATTGATGATAAGTAGTACTTTTCTAGTGCTTCTGTGATTTGTGTGGCAACCTGTGCCCTTGTAGAAGCGCTTCCAGTTTGAAGTTGCAGTAGGAGCTTTTGCATATCAGCTCCACCACCGACCACTTTGGCGTTGATAACCACAGGTACATTACCCAGGGCAGGTTTGAGCGACCTGGTTATGGATTTGAAGACACTGCCAAAGCCAGACGCTCGGGCATTGGTCTGTTTGGGGTTTGACATTGAAGCACAAGCGATTTAGATAAGATGCACAATGGCAGTAGACAGGTCGCACAGTATCTACGATGCTGATCTAAGATTTGTAGATTAGTCTATAAATGCTGAATAAGAGAATTTTTTTGATTAGCACCAGAAACGATAAAGTCTGTAATACCAAGGCTTTCCACGTAAAAAGGCCCTTTCTTGTCTGAGCTGTTCACGCAAAAGCTCCAAATCTGGCTCTCTGCGTCCAGTGTCGAGATCAAGTTTTCTAGAAGGAATTTGCAAGATCCAGTTTCTCTTCCAGATCTTGTGACCGATGTAAAATACAATCAAAATGACACCTCCCAAATATGACAAGAAGAAATTGTAAGCACTCGACTTGTCGCCCACTGGGAACAATGCGATCCAGAATTGGGCAATCAACACCAAAACGAAGATGGTTCCACCAAGATAAGAGCCAATCACACCGGTTTGAGCAACGAATGTCAATTCGTCGGTACTTCTACCTTGCGTTTTGAGACCTCTTCTGAACCTAATGTGGGCCCAATTGATACTAATCCATGATGCAATGGAACTCAATGCTGAAATACTCATGAGCCAATCGAACACTTCGGCTTCCTTGTTACTGGCAGCGATGAATGCAAGAAGGGCGAAAATGTTGCAAATGATGATGGCAGCCAAAGGTCTGCCCGCTCTGTCAATGTAAGCGCAGAAAGATGGGGCCAAACCTTGTTCAGCCAACGAGGTGAGCGTACGAGACGAAGCATATACTGAGGTAGATGCCACTGAAATAACTGAAATCAAAATGACAGCATTCATAACATGAGGCAATCCGCTAATACCACCACTTTCGATAGCAATGACAAAAGGAGACGCAGTCACATCCACAGATGATGCTCCCAAAAGTCTGTCGGAGTTGTAAGGAACAAGGAAACAAATCAAGGTGAGGGAAACCAAGTAGAACATCAAGATTCTCCAGAACACCTGTTTGATAGCACGGGGCAATGCACGTCTTGGGTTTTCAGATTCAGCTGCAGCTAAACCAACAAGTTCAACACCAGCATAGGCAAAAGCAGCGGTAACGAACACAGAAGCCACACCCTTGAAGCCATTGGCAAAAGCTCCAGGATTGTGCCAGAACTCAGCGCCGTGATGAACTCCGTTTGGAGCGCCGCCCGCAGCAAGAACGATGCTGACAATAATGAATCCGATAACTGCAGTGACCTTGATCAAAGAGAAGATGAATTCGGCTTCTCCGTAGGCTCTCACGCCAATCATATTGATGGAGCAGACGACAATGTAAAATATAAGAACCCAAATGTCGGGATTCACCGAGGTATTCCAGAATTTCATGGTGATAGAGCTACTCACGAGCTCCAATGGGAGTAACACCAAGAATTGGATGAAGTAGTTCCATGCCACAGCAAATCCAACAGAGGGATCAATGAAACGACTGGCATAAAGATTGAAGCCACCGCTGACGGGAAATGCTACAGAGAGCTCTCCCAAACTCTGCATTGTCGTGAAAATAGCCAAACCAGTTATTGTCCAGCCAATCAATATACCACCGGGTCCACCCGTACTAAGAGCCGAGCCGGAACCCACAAAAAGTGCACTTCCAATGGAGGACCCGATCGCAATCATTGTGATATTTCTGGACTTGAGCTTTCTTTGTAGCGGCAGCTTCGACGTTAGAAGATTGGCTCTCTCGATATCCGAAAGATCGGGATCGATGTCATCTTCTACATTAACACGTTTGAATGAGTCTTTGAAGTTCTGCCATCTGCCTGGCTTTTCAGAATTGGCATTATAGGATCTTTGGTGGATCTCATTGTCTGAGAACTTTTCTAGATATGATGAGCTCTCTGCCATCTTGCTATATGGGTTGGAGAATGTCGGAGTCAGTGAAAAAAAGCGAAGAGGAAATTCGCAGCCAATGTCAGTTCCAAGAAAAAGAAATTCGTGACACATCGGAACAAAGCGACATACATCATCTGACAGCCCAGTTCCATTGGATATTCGCTGAAGTTTAATCGGTAAAATCAAACGAATAGGAAAATTCTTTTTGTGATATACTTGTGCTACATTAAGTTCATTCATATGTTTCCTCGCCTTTTCTAGTAAAATTAAGTAGGCTGCGAAAACCGTTGCCGTCATTATCTATCCGTAAATCAAATCCACAAAAAAGCAAAATCCACCGCCCCATGTTACTTGTTGCAAAATCTTTTTGAGCCACCTTGGCCTCATGTTGACAAACATATTGCCACAATTATAACCTTCACTCTCCACGCCGATTCCCCACTTGATGTTCTCTCTCACATTGCAACCATTCCAGAAATTCCACCACTTGTGCCTCTCACAGGGAATGATACGCAATAAGTTTTTCTTCAATGGGCCCTTGGGACCATCGATGTATTTGAAGCCACCGATGAGAGAATGGCTTTGCCTTGGGTCGTCGTTCGCGAGTTTCTTATCGCCCCAGTGGCCTGTAAAGGTCAACCAGTCACCGTAAGTCGCCTCTCTACCCCGATGCTTAGTGTTGGTGTTGTTCTCAGCAGGGTAGACGAATTTGCCATCGTAGGAGTAGGCCAAGTAATTCTTGGTAGGATTCCACAATGGACCTCTATCAGTAAAATCACACAAGATTTCGTATGGCAAATCGTGAGGATGAGTACCCACCGAGACGTAGTTAGCATGAGTGCCTCTGGCTGAGAAAATGATGGGGTGTTTTGGGTCGAGCTCGTACTTCTCGAGGTGCTTGTAGTAGTAGGCGCCACCTCCGCCGTGAGCTGACATCCAAACGATCACGGGCTTACCCTTGTAAAATCTTACCAATGAATGTTCCCAGTCACCCACATGGTTTCCATAAGGGCCCAGCCCCATCACAAACGGACCAAGGTTGAACGAGTAGAAGTAAAACCAGAATGCATCCACCCAGCCGTTTCCTTTGTCCACGATGATCAAAGTGGCTGGTGCATCCTTAATCTCTCCGTTCACCAAGTTTGGCTTATTCTTCACACCCGTGATCCAGTCAGGGTCAGTGTCGAAGTCCTCATCTGCCGTGAGATAAACGGCCGGGCGCTTCGGAAGTTTACTTAACGATGTGATGTTTAGCCTGCCGTTATCAGTACCGGGAATGGTTGTACCGTTCTTGTGAGTAGCATGGAAATGGGTCACATACTCCTTGATGTCGTAGGGCAAGTACCTCTCCTCGGAGTAGAGATGTACAAAAGGAGCATAATCGATCACATATTGTGGTATCTCTCCCTCTTTCAAAGTCTTCTCGTGGCTCTTAGGCAGCTTTAGGATCGGTGGCAAGTCTTTGAAGTGAGTGGGGGACTTTAGTATATTATCTATCTCTATCTTCTCTTCGTCTATCTGATTGAGAATGTAGCTGTCCTCGGCAATCCATTTTGGGAGGGTCGATGCGGATGAAATGGCCATTAAAAGCCAGGTAGCTATAAGCATATTGATTCGAAATTTGGGGTGTGATACGTGTGGTGGAGTAAAGTAAAAGAAGCGAATGATGGTGTTTATATAAGTAGGGGGAAGCCGATAAAGGTCATGCACGATTCCTGTACAATAGGAGTAAACTGTGGGAGGCTCGGCAGCTGGTCCGGATTTGTCGTATAAACTAATAAGCCAATAAGGTTCAGATCTACCAAAAAATACAAACTCGTTTTTGAAGTCAAAAATTTATAAATTTGTTACTTCTTCACCTATGAAAAATTCATGTGATTTATCCCCAATTGTGGCTTCTACATGGGCCCTAAGTTAGAACAATCGGCAACAGAAATTCGCAACCGACCCCTCGATAACGGTATACGATGTGATAACTAAAAAGCAACAGCCAAACTAAAAAATTGAGGAACGAGACTTTTCAACGTTAACGTCTTGAAGTTGATTGGTCCTTCACAATAGCAGCGTTGGATTCACGGCATTAGTTACCACTACTTACGCCTTGACTGGGCCACGACATAGTAGCGAGAAGTATGGTGAACCTGCTACACGAATTTGACCTCATAAAAAGAAAAGCTTGTTACTTGTATGTAAATTTCTATTAGTCGTCGTGGAGCTCGAGGTGATTCGCTTAGAAGACAAACACCTGGTCACCCAACTTAGACACAGGCTTGGCCTTAGGGTAACCCAAGGTCTGAGCAGCCTTCTTGATGGCAGAAACCATCAATGGAGGACCACAGATCAACAAGTTGGTGTCGTCGGTGTTCTTTGGCAAGTGCTCGTCCATAATCTCGGGGGTGACGAAACCAACAGAGCCGTTCCAGTTCTCAGGAGGGTTGTTCAACACGTAGTGGATGAAGAACTGGTCGGGGTTCTCTCTTCTCAACTCCTCCAACTCGGCCTTCAACAAGATGTCCTCCTCAGACACATTAGCGTAAACCAAGTGGATCTTGGTCTTGTCCTCAGGGTTGTTCAAGATGGCAGTCAAGATCTGGTACATTGGAGCGATACCGGTACCGCCTGCAACCATACCAAAAGACTTGGTCATGTTAGGGGTGTAGGTGAAGAAACCCTTGGGGCCTCTGATGTCAATCGACTCGCCAATCTTCTTAGACTCGACGTGCTTGGAGATGTTACCGTTTTCGTAGGTCTTGATCAACAAATCAAACGAGCCCAACTGGTCGTTGTTGGAGATTGGGGTGTACGATCTCACCACCTCCTTGCCGTTGATGACAGCAGAAATGGAGATATGCTGGCCAATAGGCAAGTTCAACTTGTCGGTGGATCTGGGCAAGCCAAACTTGTACACGCAAGAGTTGTGGGAAACACGGTGTTTCTCGATCAAGGGAAATTTCTTGTAATCCTCTGGCGATAAAACCGGAGCGTCCTTCTTCGTTTTCTGAAGAAAATACAAGGCCACGAAAGAGCCAATAATGGCCGCAATCGTGGCAAACACAATCAATGGGTTGGGTTCAGAGTCGGCCATGATGGAGTAGGTGCTGAAAAAGACTGGGTGGTGTTGGGAAATGTCACCTGGTATATAACGCTTGACACCGCGAGAAGAGCCAAATTCATACGCTTAGCGCGGTCCACCTGTCCGTAATATTTTACCCCGTTGGGCTAAACGATCCCCCAGCTCGTCTCACGGAAAATGGCAATTTAAGAGAATATTCAACGTTTCTACGGAATTTACAGATCGTAAAACTCAATATTTGGGGTGAAGAGTAGTCCGGTTCCGGCCTTCGCACTTCCGTAACCAGCCCATGTGAAGAAGCCCTGCAAGCCTCTGAAAAAGCTCCTGCAAGTCTCGGTGAAAGGATCACAGAAGCACGGTGGGGTTAAAACGTGAAATTTAACAGCAATGATGTAGGCTTTGCTAGGTGCTGTGTGTGTCTAATCGGGTCCTGTGATACTAGCTTAAAGTTTTTCATCTTCGTATATGTCCTATTGGACCACTGTTGATGCGCTTACACCGTACCATAATGTAGGCTGCTACTACACTATCCTTGATAATACATTGTCTTCGTTTCTATGCTATTAAAGCTGCCTTGCAGCGGTGATGATCTCTTCCAAATAATACCTTAAGATCCTCTTCTTACTCTTCCTCGCCAATTGACTTCACATTCCATTGGGCACTTATGTCCCAGCGGGAGCCTTTGGCATTGATGCTGACATATTTCACAAACTTCAACACCGATGGATCTCTAAGCATGAGACACAAAGAGTTCCACTTGCATTGGCTGCTGTACAACACACTATCATCGCTGGCATCACCAGCCTTGTAGATAGCTGGATCGTCGTCTTCAAACTCTTCATCTGAATCTCCTCCTGTGGCCATACACAATTCGTAGCCGCCAAATTCACCTGACTCCCAATTCTTTGGGTTGGTGGCCGTTGGTGTGAGTCCGAGAGTGGCTTCGAGGAGAACGTTGAGCTCCCCATTGTGTTCTCTGGCCAAATCCTTCTCTGTCGTAGTCGCCAACATGAAATCTTGGCCAGGTCTGAACTTTCTAGCGAGAATCTGGTCACTGGTAACAGCAAGACTCGTCACATAGGCAAGCCATTTTCTGAATGCAACCGATTTCAAAAATGCCATCACTTCAAGAAGCATCTCGTCTGGACCGTTAGATGTGAGGCGCTTGGTCAAGTCAAAGTTGGGGAGCTCTTGAGGACCAATGTGATTGTTGTGCTTGATGCCCTGTTCGGTTTGGTCAATCTCGCCCTTCCCGTCTATGTACATAAATCTTTGCTTGTGTGGGGGGACTGCGCATTTCCAAGGAAACTGAATCTCCTTTGATGTTTGTGGAACCTTATTGTCGATTTCGAACTTTCTCATCTTCTCCTGGAGGAGATCGGCATACTCAGGTTTCAACACATCCTTGATCTCCACCACGGACTCTTCCACGAAAGTCTGATTTAGCTGATCAAGAGCACCCTTGGTCAAGTAAGTAGGGTTGAGGTATTTTGAGAGGTAGGCCTTCTCACCGTCGTCAAAATTCTTACTGTCCAAGTCCATGGTCTCGTACTTCTTGATTTCTTCAGGATATAGGTCGTTCCTAAAAGGCTTGGGGAAATCAAACTCCTGGAGCTCCTTGCTTTGGAGTTGTTGTAAAGTACTCTTTGCCTCGGTGGCTTCCTGTTCGCCTGGAATGTATCCATCCTCACCTGGTTGTGGAATATGGAACCAGCCTTGGATAGATAATCTTTGCTTGTCCACACGGACTTCTTCAACATCATGGAATGATAAACCAGGTTGTACAGTGAAGAAAGCCATCTGATTAAACTGAGGTACAAGCTTCACCTCATGATCTGTCTCTGGAACATTAGGCACAACAGCAGGGAAGAGGCGCAATCCACCACCGTAATGTGCTTTCCACGTGAACTTGGGGTCGGGCATGTACAAAATGAAACTGACTCTTCTGGAGCCAATGACATCATCATGTGTCAAGAGGTGGCAACCCTTGGTGTAGGTGTTGATGGACATGTCTGTCTTAACACCACTAAGCTTGCCACAACCAGTCACATTGGAAATGAAGTCTCTGAATTCTTCTGAATAGATTGCTGCCCTCAACTTGTATAAAGATGGCAATCTAGACAAGTCATCCCAATTCAATCCAGACAAGTTCGCCAAATCTCCTGACTGGAAAACTTTATAGATATCCGTTTCCTTTTTTGTGAAAGCAATTTCGCCCAAGATTTCCTTTCTCACCGAACGCAACAAATCGTCGTTGATCAATTCTGTAACAGTGCCCCATCTGTATGGCTGTGAGTTGGTGATGTCCAGCTTCAAGTTCTGCTGAAAGTCATTTTCAAATATCTTATTGTTCAAGAAACTCACAATCTCATCGTGAGAGTAGGAAGTATTAAGCTTTTTGTTGGGCTTTTCGGCCACTTCTTCATTTGGACGTTTTTCGACAACCATGGCGTTATTCGGTGTTATCAATTTTTCACCCAGACATCACTCCACATACTAGGCATCAAGATGAGCCATGCATGCAGGCCAGATGAGTCGAGATGGAACTGATAGCGTACTTGTGGAGGAAAATAATCTTCAAAGGGAGCCCTCTTTCCCCGTAACTATGTCTTCTTGTGTGACAAGTTGAATTCTTATCCTGGATTTTACATCGATTTGTTTATTGAATAGACCCCTCTGGACTTTCGCGTGTTTTGCATAATTTTGAGACATTGCGCCAAATATTGAGATATAGTTGAAATCGTAACAAATTGAGTACTTTCAATTTTTATTCAACGAACAAAGTTCCTGAGAGGATGATGGAAAACGATTACAATACCCTACTGAATTTTTTCTTATTCCGATGGCTCGAATAAAACACCATAAATACTAACTGACGACCGTAACATCTATTTCAGAGCATATTGACCTTCTAAAGTATCTCCACAGTGATCAATGCTATAGAAACACCCATCTTTTCAGTCTACTCTCTACCAAACGCTGATTTTTGTGAACCTTCTTTTGACGTCTCGCTTAATGGGTGCAAAAAGTGATATGCGGCGCAAGTTTTCACATATCTCAGATGCAACAAGTGGAGATCTACACGAAGGCATTTGGGAATCTTCCAATCAAATCCTTGCCAAATAGCAAAATACAAGGTACCCATGATGACTTCACTTACCACGAGGCGCCCGAAGAGTCTTCAGAGCCGAGTCACGTGAATGCGTCTAATCGCTTATCGGCAGGATATGAATCATCCGACACAGGACCGACAGGGTCTTGACTCATTTACTGAAAAATTACAAAACCATCCTTCTTTGACTGTATTCCGCTCCAAAATTCTTCACACTCACCAAGATGGGCTCATCATTACCTTCTTCGGCTGCAAGCTCGTATAATTCTGTACTCGATTTCAAGTCGATCTCTACTGGCGGCTGGATCGTCCAGAAGTTTGGCGGTACCTCTGTTGGAAAGTTCCCGGAGAACATTGTCGATGATATAGTCAAGGAATACAGTAAACTGCATCGTGTCGCTGTTGTTTGTTCTGCCAGATCTTCCAACACGAAAAGTGAAGGTACTACTTCAAGGCTTCTCAGAGCGGCGGACTTGGCTACCGAGATGGGAGACTACGACAGCCTATTGAAAGTTATCGAGGACGATCACGTCAACAACGCTAAGGAAAAAGTGAAAGACTCGAATCTCCAAAATAAATTGATCGAAGACTCCAAATTAGAAGTCGCCAGAGCTAAGGAACTTTTGCATGCATCTCAAATCATCGGCGAGATTAGTCCAAGAACGTTAGACAGTCTCATGTCCGTGGGCGAAAAATTGTCCTGTCTTTTTATTGCAGCATTGATGAAAGATCATGGACTCAATTCTGCTTATGTGGACTTGTCCCATATTATCCCTCTTGACTACGATATCTCAAAGGGCTTTGACGACTCATTCTACCTGTTCCTCGTTGGTGAACTCGCCAAAATTGCCCTCTCTCAAGGTGAGAATGTCATTCCAGTTTTCACTGGGTACTTTGGCGTGGTTCCAGGTGGTCTTCTTAATGGTATTGGCCGTGGCTACACTGACTTGTGCGCCGCATTGATCGCTGTTGGTGTTCAGGCTGATGAGCTTCAAATCTGGAAAGAGGTGGATGGCATTTTCACAGCCGACCCCCGTAAAGTACCAAGAGCCAGACTTCTCGATTCCGTCACACCAGATGAAGCTGCCGAATTGACCTACTATGGTTCCGAGGTGATCCACCCATTCACTATGGAGCAGGTGATCAAGGCCAAAATCCCAATCAGAATAAAAAATGTCATGAAGCCTTCCGGAAAAGGTACTATCATCTACCCTGACAATATAGGCAGAAGAGGCGAAGCTACGCCGCCCCACCCACCAGCTGCTTACGAGACGCTTCCTAATTCTTACATCCAAACGCATAAAAAGAGATCTGCCACTGCCATCACTGCTAAGCAGAACATTGTCGTCATTAACGTTCATTCCAACAAGAAAACGCTATCTCACGGTTTCTTGGCTCACATCTTCACAACCTTGGACAAGTACAGATTGGTGGTGGACTTGATCTCCACTTCTGAGGTGCACGTCTCTATGGCCATGCAGCTTCAAAGTGAAGAGGAGCACAACCTCAAAGAGGCATTGAAGGATTTGAGGAAAATGGGTACAGTGGACGTCACCAGAGAGATGACCATTGTGTCTCTTGTTGGTAAGCAGATGGTGAACTTCATTGGTATTGCCGGTAACATGTTCAAGGTTCTCGCCGATGAGCGTATTAATATCGAAATGATCAGTCAAGGTGCTAATGAGATCAACATCTCTGCTGTTATCAATGCTAAGGATACTATCAGAGCTTTGCAATCTATTCATGCTAAGTTATTGGAAGGAAACTTTGGTTTCGAGGAAACGGAGTCCGCCACCGACATAAGGTTGTCAGCCTTGAAGGCACAAAGCTAGTCATACACATAATTACATAAATCAATTCACTAGATATCGAAATCACCGGACTCGGAGTTGCGCTGGCCAGAGCCCTTACCCAGTGCGTTTTTGTTTTCTTCAATCAAGCCCTCAAAGTCGCCAACCATGTTGCCCAACAACTCAGAGGCCAACTTGTGGTAGGCTAATTGCGCCTTGATCAATTCCAAAAGCTCTTCGAGAGGCTTGGCGTGCTCCAAGACATTTTGCATGACACTGATACCGTCCTCTACTGTGTTTGCAAACTCGTCCTCTGCGTTTTCCATGGCGACTCTATATTGAGGCTCCTTGGAAGGATTCGTGCAGTTAGTCAAAGCTTGCCTAGCCAAATCATAGTCTATTCTCTTTTGCTCGACCTTTTTCTGGATGTTCGAGCTCTGAGAAAGCAATGATCTCAACGTCGAGGTCAATGGCTTGTTGAACTTGTTTTTGATCAACTGATCTTGACCGAGTCTAGCATTGGCGATTTTGTTCAAGTTGCCGGAGTACAAGTCTAAAGCTTTGATCAAGGGGTCCTGGTCTTTGCTTGTCGAAGATGTCAAGACAGAACCATCCGTGGCACGGGCGAGAGCATGATACAACGTCTTGGGAGGCTTGAACTCGCCATGGTCAGAATTGATCAATGCAGCCTGTGCTTCGGCTGGAGTGGTTGCCTTGGACAAGTTGGACACTCTGTTTGTAATGTTCTTGCTGAAATCAGTGAATGATTCTTGCAAGTTGGTAGGGTAGTCATATGACTCCGACTCATAATTGTGGGTGATTTTCAAAACATTTCTGTACAACTTCTCGACATTGTTACACTTGTCAGCCAATTCACGATACTCCTCGGGTAATTGACTGATTTCGTCAACATTAACCTTGCCCATTCTCTCCTGGACCATTCTGGAAGTCCTTTGAGCGAAGGGCATGAATTCATTGTTGAATTCGGTAGAGACCTTGTCACCAAGGTCCTTCAAGTTGTTGGTGAAGCTGGAGAAATTGAAAGACATGTTACTGGTCTTTGGTGCTTATTTCAGTGGAAGATTGGAGTCTTTGCTGATGTCACTACTAGAAACTCAAGGGGGTGAATATGCACTCTTGGACCACATAGCCCTCCAGACAATGCATTCCTTTGACACTTCAAAATTGTCATAGATTGAATTATTAATACTTCAAGCCCTTTTGAAAAAACTCGTATATAGCCTTAGAAAATCTCTGCGCTCCCTCACGGAGTTCATGGTCTGACGCTGCAACCGCGTAAGTCAACCTGAAGAAATTGCCTCTTGGCTCGCTGAACTTCTTATCAATGGCCATATTGAGGCCAGTGACAACCTTGACGCCTATTGCACGGAACTTGAATTGTAATAACTTCATTTTGTCAGGCACATTTGTTCCCTCAGGGAAATTGACAATCACACTTGCAAACATTCCCGCCCGCGGATCAATAATGTCAAAATAACCGTTCTTATAAGCATCCAGATCATAGAGCCCACCGAGAAGAACATTTCTTCGGTTAATGTAGGCGAGCCTAATTTTGAGGACCCATTTGAGCCAGCCCTCAACACCACCAAAGCTTTGTTCGATCACATTGTTGACCAAGAGTTGAGACGTACCGGATGACGATCTAGTCACGACATTGGCATAATTAGAGATTGCACGGATGACATCCTTGTGGCCCACAATGAAACCAAGTCTTAATCCAGGAGCAAAAAGCTTTGAAAACGTCTCAATACGAAGAACTCTTCCCGAGGTGTCAAAAGTGAGATAAGAGGGCATTAAGTGGTTTTCCAAAAAGTCCTCGATGGTTAGGAAGTCAGTCATTTTTGCTAATCCATCCGGACTAGAGAATGGCGGCAATGTCAAATATCCGTAAGGATCATCTTCAATGATGGCAAAATCGTACTTTTCAGCCAAATTATAAACCCGCTGACGGAACTTCACGGACTGGGTAAATCCAGTGGGGTTCTGACCCGAGGCGATGGTGTACAAAGCTTTTGGCTTCTTACCTGTATGTTCTGGCTGGAGCTGGTCCCAGTTTTCCAACAAATTGATCAAATAATCAATATCTAATCCATTACTCTTGTCAGGGGTACTGTCAAGATCCAACTTCAAGGGCACAGGGATTGCACCAGCATTGTTGATGTTTTGCAAAAAGGGAGTGAACGTGAACTCTTCAACTAGAATAATATCACCAGGGTCTAAAAACGCATCTGCAGCTTTGTTAAGGCCGTCACCAGCTCCGTTAGAAAGAATAGTCGTCCAATCTTCGTACTTGGGAGGGTGTGCTTTCTTGATAAGATCTCTTGTAAACTGAAGAAGTTGAGGAATTCCTTCTACCTCGGAGTACTGCAACCCACGACTCAAGTCTATAAGTTTCAGATCTTGTGATTTTTTGGGGATTATAACGTGGTTCTTGGACTCACCAGTGGTAGTTAACCTTTTTAAGGAGTCCTCTACCCCAGAACCACTAGAGTTCAAATTCTCTAATGAAATATTGCCTAGAGGCAACAGCAATGACTTTTGGAAAGGATAGTCCACCACATTTACTTGCAACAGCTCAATTGGAAAGAACCCGGCGTTAGGCATGCCAGCATCAAGCCACAAAGGGTCTGGGTGTGGCTCAAATCCTTCCGGAGCATCATCCGTGTCGAACAAAGCAAAATGGAGTCTCCGTCTAGAGTTCGCCCGTTGAGAAATCAAATGTGCCATCGCAAACGTGAAGAATAGCCTCAATTGAAAAAGAAGTGGTTGTTGCTCAAATTCCTCCCAAAGCGGTCGCTTACTGATGCAGCATGCGAGGCACTGATAAGGGCGCGCCTTCCACACTAATTTTTGAATCCACAGCGGTGCGATTTCTAATCAGGAGGTACCTGCCAGTACTTGGAGTCCCCTTTTTCTTTTGGGAAATTGCGTCTAAGTCATTTCTTCGTCGATGATTTCATCCCCAAGATAAGAATCTGAAGAGCATGCTTTGTATTCATCGATAGTTTGACGCACTGTCTCTTTGCACTCTTCAAACGCATCCAATACTTCTTGCCTCTCCGAGGCATCATTGGATGTAGTGTAGAAATTGATATAAGCTGCACGCTTAGCCAATAAATCATACTGCTTGACTGTTTTACTGAGTAGATGCACGATCGAAGTATTGTTAGACACCTGGAACCCGCTTAAGCGCTTCTCCTGCTGACTTGTAAATGCCGATTGCTTGCCATTGACGACGCTAATCGAGCTAGGAGTCCATGGTACAAAGGAAAGTCGCTGTTGAGCCTTAAGGATGCCTCTTCTAATCTCCTTTTGATTAAGATTCTTTCCGATCACGTAGTCAAGCACACTGATGTACTTGAGGGGCTCTTTGTAGGAATTGAGCTTATACTTATCGTTCAAAAGCTCGAGTATAATGTCATATTCATTGAGGCTCACGTAATTTTGACTAGGAACAACATTGGGTATGTTGGAGTATGGAGCGATGGATGTCAGGAGGAACTTAAGTTCAGGTGTTGGAACGACGGTCGAGATGATCGACTCGTAGGAGCTGTACATGTAGCTAGGAAACCTGAGCGGATTGGTGATACCAGCTGCGACATATGCTATTAGCTTGTTAGCACTCTCGAAAGCAGTTGAGGGGCTCAAGTTTCGTTCTAACCCTGATCCGATAAAAGTATTGCCCAAGGCATTCAATGAATCATTATCGAACACAAAAGTCGCATCACCGAAGTCAATTAATCTTCTGAGAGTGAGCATTGTATTGTAAGGCTGGACCACAACATCAGATGTTTTGTCGTTAGACGGAAAGACAGAGAAAGTGCTAACAATTTTCTTGCTGCCATATCTATCATTTAATAGTTCAAGTAACAAGCTTCCAACTCCAGAGCCAGTACCACCTGCAACACTATGCATGAGCTGGAAGGCCGATGGGTTATCGCACTTGTCCAACTCTCTGTCTATCAAGTTCATCATCTCTTCTTCGTGATTTCTGCCGTAAACATAGCCGTGTTGCCAGTTGTTGGCTGCACCACTTCCAGTCTCACTAAGGTGAATATTTCGAGGATTAAACATGGGAAGCTTCGAGGTGGCTTTGTTCACCACCGATGGTTCGAGGTCTATTAGTATGGATCTTGGGGTAAACTTGTTCTGCTCGCTTAGGGTGAAGAACGAGTCCATCACGTCAGGTCTCTGACTTTGTGGCTTCTTTGAGAATTCTGGACTGTCGCTTTCAAACGCAAGCTCATCACTGATATAAGGTTGTGGTGTTCCGTCTGGTGCAATGCCATGATCTAGGGCCAATTGTCTCCAGTATTCTAGACCAACCTGATTACCACACTGGCCAGCCTGAATTGTTATTATTTCTCTGATTGTTAGTTTCCGTTATTTCGTTGTTATTATTTTGTACATACCCTGGCATGGTGTTTCTTGAATGTGATGGAACGCGGTGATGTTTTGAATCTGCGCGCTCGAAAGTAGGTGAGTTAGTTGTAGTGGTTTTCGAGAAAACGCAAGAACCAAAGGCAAAAAAAGACTCAGCAAACTATTTATTTACAACTAACTGGAATAGCGTTTTAAAAAAAAAATCCATTCTATGAAAAACTAAAAAAATAATGGACGAGACAGGATTCGAACCAGTGACCTTCTGCTTGCAAGGCAGACGCGCTACCAACTACGCCACACGCCCTATAACTTCTGAGATCTGACCCTTGGGGTTTTATGAATATTATAAACGCCTGTATATAACCTAGTCACATGATCACTTAGAGGATGTTATCAATCATTCAAGAGTGACTAGTCAGAGTATCAATGCAAAAAAAACTCCTATGCAGAGATGTTGCATTTTGGCATTTTATAAGCGAGAGATACGATGCCGGTGAGGTCTAGGTTCTATTTGAACCGCTAGTGTTCCAAAACGAGATTAGGTGCCCTACTTGATCTGACATTTATGGCATACTTCTACTGTTGTTAGCGCATTTTGTACCAGAACTACAATTAACGGGTTGCACTCGGTGTAGGAATGATGCTTACGAAAGCAATCCAAATGAGGAATGAAACGTTTTGCCGCTCACTCATTCTCCAATCCTCTAGAGCCTGTTTAATACTGCACATAATTTCAAAAGTTTTACTATATAAGGAACAGATCGCGCCCACCGTTGAAGGTTTTTCTTTTTTTTCTCATACTTACCTTGAGATATTACAGGAGATCAAGTAGTTCTGTAATCGCGGCACCTTGTTTGCATTGCACAGCGCTGCAAGGAGCTGTTGCCAACTCTCCCTTTAATGGAGTTGGTCTGTGTGTTCCGAGTGGATCGTCTTCGGATGGTTTACTTTGATTGGATACAATAGGCTTGCTTCAGGGTTTGTGTGGGTCTTTCAATTTTTGATTTAACTCCTCGAATGGGCTAGAATTTATTCAGCTCATCCTTCCTTAGTCAGCGCAAGTCGGGTGATTTGATCTGTCCAAGGGCTATGAATAAAGAGGCCACTGAGGCTACCGTTGTCCTAATTACTGCCTCATCTATGTCCTCGTTATAAGGCGAGAGACACGATGGCTCAAGAGCCAAGCATTGAAATTCGTAAAGAATATTTCATCAGTAAATCGAGAGAGTTCTTCTCAAAAATTTTTTTTTTTGATTTTCAAGGCCTTATGGCCTTGCTAGGGGCGCCAAAATGAGATCTGGGGGTCAGAAGAAGTTGCGCTTTTGAATGGTAAAAAGTTTTGTTGGAAAAATTGACTTTTTTCGCATTTTCAAACCCGCAAATTTGGCGCTATATAATGAGCCTGCATTCACCGATGGCAAGAGGTACCGGTCCTATAGTGTAGTGGTATCACCTCGGATTCTGATTCCGGTAACCTGGGTTCGAACCCCAGTGGGACCTCTTTTTTGCTCCATCCCATTTTCAATGAGATTTACTTTTTTATGACTATTACGGCAATCTACGGGGGCGCCAAGAACCTTCGGAGGTAACTGAACAAACTCTACGTATCAGATCAGTATGTACCTATTGAGCCGAAGTTGGCTGCTTCCAAATCAGTAATCGTTAAAAAGATGTGAGTTAACGAAGTGATGCAAGACACTCAAAGAGGATGAAAGGTTGCCGTGATGAGAAGCGTGTTTCGATACGCCTTCGTTTCACGAGGTACGAACTCAAGCAAGTCTCGTAAACACGAGAACGCAAAGTTCTCGACTCGGAACGTTTCATCCGGGATCCGGCTTTAAGTGTTCAATGGGCGCCATTATTATGGGTGACAGCAGTTTGAAAATGGGTTCTAGATCTGTCAATTGCCTTGTTTAGTTAACGTAGGCGTCTTTGTTTAGGCCCTTATTTCCTCAATTAGGAAACAATGACAAAGCGTGCTAAAGTAGATCGCAATTTATTGACGCCGAAGGCACCAAATTTAGTGACTTCCATTTGCAGTGAAAGAGTGAGCATGAAGCCTGTTTAACCTTTCTCAGACACTTCTTGAATAGGAAATTTTTTCGCAGCCATGGATTCAAGAGCATCAAGTCGAAGTCTAACTCTACAAAATTATTTCTCTGAAAATCATTGATTTGAGTATGTTCAACACATCCTATGAAATGGTTTTAATAAATGACCGAAATCAGCAAGAAGAAAAGTGGTTCTGGAAAAAAAGAAGATATCGAATAGAAAACGTAATAAACGTGCTCACAGAGCACAAGGTATATGCTGTTGGTAATTAGCACTTAGCGATTCGGATGGATTGGGCATTTCAAGGACATGTCGAGCACAACTCAGCATAAAAAGAAGTGTACCCGAACTGGAAGCTTTTGTGTGGATCTTATGCCACTTTTGATGAAAATCATTCAACCATCTAGTAGTTGTAAGATCTTCTTCTTCTTCTCTTCTTACAGCCAGTTGGCACAGAGGTACCAGTGGCAGTGAAGGTAGGAAGAGTGGTGGTCGAGGTAGACTGGGTAGTAAGACCAGTTGGAGAACCAGAAATGGTAGAACCGTCACACTGGCCGAAGAGAGCAGCCAAAGCGTTGACAACAACAGTCTTCAAGGTCTCGAAGTTGAAGAACTCCTTGAACAAGGAAGTAACCAAACCAGAGTTGGCAATAGCCTTGATGATGGCAGTGATGTCAATGAGGTCACGGTCCCACAACTCCTTGATCAAGTCAACACCGTACTCCAAGAACTGTGGGTCCACGAGCAAAGTTCTGACAACAGAAGAAGCCAAACCAGAGTTGGCCAAGGACTCCAACAAGTTGTTGACAACTCCGTCCTCGTCGTATCTCTTCATCAACTCGTCGTTCTCCTCAACAGATCTCTTGACCTGTGGTGGAAGAGTGAACTCGTCCTCCTCAACGAATCTCTTGGCGGTACCGTCGTTGATCTTCTCCTCGATCTTGCCAATCAAGTTAGAGACAACCTGCAAGGCCAACTTGAAAATGTCCTCGTAAAAGGTACAGTCGTTAAGAAGGTCCTTGATAACAGTGGTAGCCAAACCAGACTTGTCCAAAGCCTGGAACAAAGTGTCCAAGGAAATGAGACCGGATCTGATGATGAGGATGACAGCCTGGGTGACAATTGGCTGAAGAGTCTTGTTGGTAACCAAACCCTGGATGATCTTTGGAGCAAGACCAGTCTGGTTAATGGCAGCCAAGATCTGGGTAACAAGAGCGTACTCTCTGGCCTGGAGCTCGACAGGGTCGACAATCTCAGATCTCTTAGCCTGGAACTGCTGGACAGAGGCAGTGATCTCCTTGATCTGGTCCTCCTGTCTTTTAGAGAGACCAGTCTCGGCAGTACCGAAGTTAGCTGGGGCAGCTTGGACCGAAGTCAACAAAGCGAGAGCGAGAGTAGTTGAGACGGATTGGACCTTCATGATGTGTGATTAGTTAATAGATGTAACTAAAAAAAAAGAAGAACGGAAGTGGGAGGAAGCTGGGATACTTATATGGGGCCGGTCAGGGCAGAGGGCCCACAGAATCCATTGTGGAAAGTACCTAAACGGGGAATTGTTGGAAGCAGGAGTATGCAAGCAGCCCATATACCTTGTGTAGTTAAAGCACAAGGCACATTTTAGGATAAGACAGAATATGGAAGCCTGTCTGTGGGCTGCAAAAAGCGTCATTTCCGCATCGGGTAATTCGGCCTGCAGAGGGGCCTCTTGTCCTACTATAGAAACCCCATAGTTCGCTTACATTAGGAAAATGCGCACATTAGACACCGTCCTCCATGACATTTCCTGATTGGGATATACATTGGAAACAACCCTATGCCACAAAGGGGAATTCTCCTCTTGTAAAAATAGTCAAATTCTCTCTGCCATTACAAGCTGCAGCGTCCAGAACGTTGGCTGGTTCGCTCGTCCATAGTTTTCGCTCCCGCAGAACCCTTTATTCTGCCTTAACAAGGAAAACCGTCTGTCAGTGTCTGCACTTGGCAGCATCGTCCACCATAAACACACCATTTGGGCAATCGCTATACTGTCTTTAATTCCGAGACGGTAGATCAAGCGACACCTTTTTGATATTTCCTTTTTCTGACAATCCGTAAAAGCGCTTTATTGACGAGAACCACGAACATATTTTGCAACCGCGTCGCTCTCCATTTTGCGTAGTAGGCTTACCATACCAAGGTACAACAAGGCTTACGTTCGGCTTTTTCGGAACTTCTCCAGCCGACACAAAGCCTTTCGTAAATCAGGGCAAAAACCTTGCGCTCGAAGATCAACGCAATTACTATTGAGCCTGGATCACTTGATGATCTCGATAAGGTCCACGAGGTGAGTTTCCAGGTATTTCGATGTATCCACTTATTTTTTTTCAAGTGAAGAATGTGCTTCGAAAGCCTCTAGAACCGGGTGTGATGTAGCCGCATTCCACGAAGCAACCTCTGGACCCTGTAAGGCTTACTACGATAGGGGCTGGAATCTGCAATGGCTTTCGCCGTAATTGTCAAATCATTTAGCGAGAATATCACTCGCTTAGCGAGAATACCAGTAATGAAAGTATCAGCTACGAAATGACGGCCATATGTTGGAAATTGTAATGTCATCCACTGCAATGCCGTCTACAGCATGCTGAAGCAGCAACATCCATGTGTCTCCTGAAAATACACTCGCCCCTGAGTTATTTTCTTTTTGTCAAGTCAGAATGTTTTACTTTCTAGAACGACTTCTGAAACCAAAAGCCATTTTGGAAGCCAACCCGAAGGAGTCTTTGATTCTGCACTCCACCACCATCTCCTGTAAAGCAAGAAGAGCCGTCAAAGCCTCAACTCCTTTTTCAACTACGTAAATGAGCGTAACTGAGCTTTAGACGGTGGAAACCTGCTGATCATTGGATATACTCTGCGGAGATACCTTTTACGAGCTACTGCTTCCAGTAACGTTGTTTTGCATTGATTAGCTTACAATGTTTCATGATGATCTCTTTTCGACAATTAGCGATCATCAATTGCGTTACCATTATTCTAACTGAACGTGAATATTCCAAATCAACTACTTTTTCTTTCTTCGAATGTGATTGGTGATTATTCGGCCGTCCGCAGGTCTTCAAGCCATTTCCAAGAAGACCGGGCATAATAAACGGCACATCAGTGATTCTCATTGGTGAACCAAGAGTTATTGGAGAATTTGTGGCGGAGGAAAGCCACCAGAAAGGTGAAAAGTCTTGCATCCGACCAATGAATCAATGATTTTTCAAACCCACC